AGTCTTTGATTAGATGAGTATCAGAGCTGAGATATGAGTAAATTCTATAAGGACAGAAGTAGATAACGGTAATGGCTTCGGCTTATAAATACTTGTTCTTGGATTAGGAGTAAGTTACTGAAGCCTAGATCAGCCTAAATGTGGGTATGGAAGGCTCTAGCAGATTTACCTCAAGGTTAAAAGACTCCCTAGATAGTAGAGACCACTTTAAAGCCCTAAGCCAACATGTAAAAATAAGGTGATACTAAGTATTATCACTTGAATATAAAAGAGTTGGTATATAGACGCAGAGGGTTTAAATGGATAACCCTTCTAGCGGAGTGTAGATACGGCATCTAGTGTAGAACCTAGTGATAGACAGACTACTTAAATAGACGCTTAAAAAACGCAGGTATGGCTAATTATACTCTACAAATATGTACAGCTGTCAGAATATTCTAACAGTTAAAAATACTACTGATATTTGAATAAAGAGCAGCATAGCAAAGAGGTCACCTAATATTAAAAAAAAAAAACAATCTCTATACTCTTGCCTTCTATAATATTTTTATTCTGTATTGTTAGAAATGCTTTTAATTCTGATAAGACCAATCCTTTATTACAATCTATTCACATGTTTATCACTTTTCTCACTATTTCAACTTTGGTTAGATAATTATCTTTTCAAGCAAATATCTGTATCTTTTTAATCTAAATAAGAACTAATTTACACAGTCTATTGACCACCTTTCCAAGCAAATACCTCACAAGTTAAATATAAGAATATTGGTATTGGCTAAATCAAAAATATAAGGATGTTGATACTGTTTTGTTTTAAAGGACTTAGAGGCTTTCAGAAATCAGCTGATTAGAATTTACTAAGAGATTACCTCAACCCACCCCCACCCACCCCCCACCTGATATCCAATCAGCCAATCAGATTTTATGTTTATTAAAACTTATAATTAAAATTATATATAATATGAAATATTGAATAACTTTTGATCTACTAAACCAATTGGGATGATTTAACTACCAAAATAATTCTCTCATTAGAGGATTCTAACAAATTCAAAATCATAAAAATCTAATCACTAGAAGCTAATATATGAATAGTTTTATCTTACTATATAATAATTTAAAATAAAATATATTTATAGTAATACAAATCTAATAATAAAACAAGAATCAACTCTTTCTGACGATTCTCTAGTCAACAAGTCCAAAAATCTGAACTATAGTCAGTGTTATAGAAGACATCAAAGGGTGATAATATACTTGGTTCTATGCAAGTAGATATGTTGTCAACAAAGTATCAAGAGTGTAAAACCGAGAAGCAGACTACTTTGGATAGTTTTTGTAGAGGTTAAGCTTTCTTGTTAGTGGACTCCTCTATTATATTCGGTATCCAAACCAGAAGGATATTTTAGAAACACAGAATGACTAGTTCGACACTAAGTATATTAGAAAAACTGGAGATAGTCTCTATATAGCTGTAAAACTTACAAGGAACAACTACAAAAAGTTTCATTGACCCACCACTTTTTTCAAGAAAAATTGTCAAAAAGTGGGCGTCTCAGTTTACCCTCTCCAAAAGATCAACACATAAAATCACCAAAACAGTCGGTATTGTTTATTTTCCAAAGCGGATGTCTATGATATTTTGTTTATTTAAGGTAGCTCAGTGCAACCTGATTACCAATAAACCAGTAGACTGCGGTCAGATGCATTGGAGTAGAATGAGTAGGAGACTACATACGGAAACAGTGTATCTGAGACACACAATGGTTACATGCCTTGACTTCCATGGACTGCAAACAATACTCTGAAACTACAGTTTCTTTTCTTTAACTACTCTGTCTAGTTTTTCTAGTTTAGTTTAAGATATTTTTTTCCTTATATAGGTTTTTTGATATAAATACATATATTATTAGAGTAGAGTTAGATACAGAGCTTCTTTATTTTATTATTATGTAATTTTTTAAAGCCTGATACAGGCTCATAATTGTGACCTATCAGATTCTTTTTTTCTTTTTTACCCCTTTCGTCTTCATATTTGTTTTTTTTTTTTTTAGTATTAGTTTTTGTTATTTTACTTTCCCCTTTAATATTAGTATTAGTGTTAGTGCTTTTTTCTTTTTTTCACTTCTCTATGAGAAGATGTCATCAGTTTGGTGATATCCTATTGTAGGGTGGTGGTCTGATAGTGCCTTCTGAGATAAATGTAATTTCTAGTTGAAATTCATCGCAATGTGTTCAAAGAGACATGTCTGCTCAGTGCGACCGGTCACTTGTAAGTGCTCTTTGAAGTAACTGTGAAATGTCATGTCTAAAATTATATAGTATAACAATTTGTTTGGTGTCGTTCTAACCAATCGATGCCCAGTAATAAAGAATTTTGACAAGACGGGCTAAGTGAAAAAAAAAAAGTAATACAAATCTAATATTATCTTAGAATCTAGTGATTAGATTTTTGTAATTTTAGGCTTGTTAGAATTCTCTCATTAAGAGGATCATTTTGGTAGTTAAATCATTTAAATTAGTTTAGTAGATCAAAAGTTATTAATAATTAAAATTTTATAATTAATTATTAATTAATTTATAATTCGGCCTAAAATTTTTTTTTTAATTTTGGCTGAAACTTGATAATTTCAGCCGGAATTACACCTGACACACTAGCTGACCCACCCATTCACCTCTAAATCAGCTGATTTCTGGAAGCTCCCTTACTTGCACAATCTTTATAGCATAGTCTTTTGTATACTGCAATTATACATAATATCTGCTCTCTGTATTTGAATCTTTTTTTAAGAATTTCTAATCCAAAATCATATTTATACTTGAACTTAGCCACAGAGCTTCACATTCAATTATGACCCCTCTAAGATTACAGAAACAAATTAAATAATTTTTCTTTAGCTTGACTTGAACCATCAATCTTGTCTATAAAGGTTTGAAAATTTAACTGCTAAACTTTAAAACCTAAACCTAATGAATAAAAGTATTAACTAGGCTAGTAATTATTTTTAAATATTGTTCTTCATATATATAATAGCTAATTTATGATTGTTAAATAGCACTTTAATAATCAGCTTTAACAACTTAAATAATTTTTTTATTTATATTATAAAATTTTGAATTCTATTATCTTAATAGAAATCTATTTTAATTAAAAACTTTTTACTACTATATTCTAAAAAGCTATAATTAGTGATATGAGTTGATAGCTACTAATAGGAATTTACCACTAGTATTTACCAGTAAATAATAGTAGATATTGGTAGGCAAATTATATGCAGAGTAGATACCAATAAAATAATAGAATAAAATTTTAAATTATATAATTAATCATCAATATCAAAAAGTATATAATTTGTCAAATAAATTATATAACTAGTAAGCTACTGGTAGAAACATGCCAATTTGGTAGAATTCACATCACTAACTATAACATTCATATCCTGAACAGCCTGAATAAAAGCTTAATTAATATTAGCTTGCATGTTATTGTTTGATTCTTTGTTATCAGTTATAATAAAATTAGTTTTAACTTCAAATATTAGTTCATCTGCTTCTTCTTCTGATAGTTCAGTATTAATATTAAAATCTTGATTACTAATTTCTTTTAACTTATATTCTAAATAAATTTATTTAATAATAAAAAATATTTAAATCAGTATATTTTATCTTATCTTAAAATTTAAAAAAAAATTAATTTTGTAATTTTAATAAAAATTTTTATAAAAATTCAAAATTAAATCTTTTTTTCAAATTTTTTTTAAAATAATAAAATATACCAATCTAATATATTTTTTAATACTAAACAACTTAGGACATAAAATTAAAATCAATTAGTAACTTTGAGTAACATAATATTTTTTAATAATTTTATTAAAATTATATAAAATATCATGATTTCCAAAATTTTACTAATTGATTTTAACTTAACACCAAAAAATACATCTATATATGTTCGGACTTAAACTAAGCTGCAAACTTCGAACCAAATCGAAAATCAAACCAGACTCAAACTTGACTAAAAAGTTTGGTCCAATAGGAGCACTAATATACTACTGCATATACAGTATATTAATTAAATCGACTAATTTATACCGTATAACTAAATTTTATTTAAATAAACATTGTTTATTAAGTATCGTATTAAGAAAATAATTATTAGACTAATAAATCGTCAAACAAATGGACATTTTTATTAGACTGTCTATTCATATCTCTGCCTATGCGTACATTATTAAGTTAAAGACAAATTACGTACGTGCAGAGCATGAATTATTCATTGAGTGTATTATGTTAGTGGTAATAAATCGCCTAATAACAATCTTTGATAGTTTGATACAACCCCTTGAATTTTTGCTAATATCCAAACTAACATAGGCTGGATATTTTCATTACTCCGATTTTCTAAGAGTGCTTTTAAATTTCAAAATCATTATAATTAGAAACTACAAAACTGGTTAAATAAACCGAATAAATAACTAAAAAAAAATAATAATATACACATACAATTAACCCATTGTTGTGTTTCAACTAATTCTTTGCCAAAGTCATCTGCCAATTCGCGCTCCGATAATGAATTAAGTATAGAATTGATACCAAATAATAATGATGATAAGATAGCTGGATCATCATTATATCTTAAAGACAATAGTAAATCCCAAAATTCTCTGTCGATTTGTATAATATCAACAGTATTTGCTTATAAAAGAAAATCAAATAAATAATGTGCAAAAGCAAATTTAACTATTTTAAAGTCAAATACTTACTAGAGCACTGAACAAAAACCGCTAATGTTACCACATATCTATGCACTAGTACAGGTTCATATAAAATTCCATTTTGATCGCTAGAAAAAGTATACATGCTTATTTATAAATAATAATAATAATAATAATATAAAAAAATGTACCAACCGATTACGAGACCACACCCAAAACCCTGCTAATAAAGGGAAGAAAAAAGTTTTTGCTGCCAATTCGTTAAATCTATTCTTCTTTGTTGAATTAAGACGCGCATACTCCACTTTTGGTCTTCGTGATAACCAACGTATTTTATCTGATGCCGGTTTACTTAAGGCATTTTTAGTTATTAAGCTGAGATCATTTGTTGACTGAGTAATTAAATCTACAGATGAAATTTCTTTTTTGGCAGGTATATCCTTTATATATAAATAAAATAAATGTAAGAAAATTTGAAATAATCACTTTCACAAATTTATTCACCTCTTCTATCTGTAGTCCAGATAATTCTTTTGCAGCTGATGATAATGCAGACAAGATCATGAGCTTGTCAGACAATGAGTATCGCGATTCGAAAAATTGTTGAATGATAAATCTAAAATTCAATAATGTTAAATAGTGAGTGGTACGTGCAAAAAGTGTAAACTATAACCACAGTGTGCATTGTTGAATAATATGCATACGGTACGGTGATCTTGGGACTTCCACATACAAGAGCGACCACTGCGGCTTGTCGATTTTCTTCAAACCCTTTAAGTTCGAAAGCATCCCGTAAATTAATAAGTATTCTTGCCAATTCAACGACATGGTCATCTTTAATACGAGAGTAAATTTCAATCAGTGTTAGTGTAATCAATATCAAAAATTCAGAAACACTTTAATAACGTACAAACCCAATTCCATCCCAAATCCTGTTTTATTTCTAATTAGTTTTGCGGCAGTATTCATCGCTATTTCCGTCTTATCGGGATCATCGGAGGATTTTAGATACGAAAGTAAATCAATTATATATCTGAAAATATGAAAAAAAATAAGAAACTATAGAGAAAATGAGGAATGACAGTAAAGTACTTTACATACACCGGAGAAAGAATTTTCTTCTTTTTTATTTGTGGCTCACATTTATCATCATCATTTTCGCTTTCTTCTTCCATCGGATACGGTTCGAATTCGTCATCATCATCAGAATCCGCAGGCTGAGAATCGACATTTTCTGCAGCGTTGAAAGGATCAATGTATGTTAAATTCTTTCTCTCTCTTTTTTTTTTTTTTTTTTTGTTTACCTGTTGTAGATATGCTGACGATAGGAATTTCAGTATTAAAATGTTTCTCAGAGGAATCTACAATTTGATCAGATTTTGATACTATTTCTTCTTGATCTATTTGGATGGAATTGGATATTAAATATGGATAAAAATATATGATCAAGAGAAAGTAATAATTTAAAATTATATAAACCTTCAGCAACAACATCATTTTCAATCTCTGGCAAATCCAGAAGCCCGTCCTTAACTTCTACTAATTGCCTTAAATATATTACTTCCTCATCTTCAGAATTTAATTCAAAGTCTAATACGTTTCCAGTTTCATCAGTTAATCTTGAAAGTATTTCTGCAGTAATCTACATTAAGATATTAATATAAATTTCAATTTAATTAGATACCATATTATACGAGAATGTTACATTACCATTCCTAATTTTCGCGACTCTTCAAATGAATTTTGTAACCACCGAGACACACCAGAAATAATATCTCTGGTGATTCCTGCATCAATTAGAGTCTCTTTGGGAATATAACCAAATATTATAAGAATTACACTTGTTATGTCTTACATAAGGTACATAAATTATTAATATTTGGATAAAGTTCACTTAAGATTCATATTAAAATGTAACATACATTTTTGATCACTAATGGACCCATGTTTAACGAATGTTGGGTCAGACCAAGACGATATGAGATTTTTAAGTACATTAAGAAGATCTATTGGAAAATGAAAATAAAAACTTGCATAAGGATTCAGATCGAACAATAGCTACATTAGAAATGATTTTACAAACCATTATATATTAGCGGGCTTAAGCTGTTATCATCACTTTTCTCTTTTTGAAGCCCTCTCCAACATAAAAAGCAGCATAAAACTCTTAAAATGATTATAGAAAATGATTTTTTACCCACAAAATATTTATATTTAATTAAAAACAATATAGATTCGTTATTTCCATTTCCAATTAATAGCATTAATATTTTAGCAATTTTACGAATCAAATGTCGCGATTGATTCTCAATGGAAACTGGAGTGGGAACGTTTGAAAGATCACAATTTTGTGCATGAAGCAATAAAGGGGTAAGAAATGACTCTAGCATATGTGGAGAAAACGATGCGGTCACTCGATGCCAAATATCTTGATAGGTTTTATTAACAGAAGGATGAAGACGTTTCATAAGATGAAGATAAATCGCCTGAACGAGAGTTTCTTTTAATTTGCCAGGAAAAACATTTTAAGTTGCCTTAAAAAGTACGCGATACACAAAAACAAAAATATACAATAGTGTTAACGCACTTGAATGGCCGATCCTACAAATCTTTGAGAATAGTTCACCGAATGCGAACACCAACATTTCAATCGCATCCTCTATCAATTATTTACGTCAAAATGAATCAGTTGAAAAAGTTCTCCTGATCACTATGATTTTGATATCACTCAAAATTACAAACATGCCTTTAATTCCCTCGCACTTATCAAATATTAAATTTTCACTATCAACCGAAAGTTTTCTAAAAAACTTTCTATCCAGAAAAAATTTTTTTTTTTTGCCGAGGACGCACATTTATGATATTAAAGATAATTCAAGAATTCATTTAATTTTATCAAAACTTGCAAATATCTAATAGGATACACATCACTTAGAAAATCATCATCCTCTAGCAATCTTGAGTTATAGATTTGATTTTGATTCAAAACCATTAAATTTGCAGCCTTTTCTGGTATAGAACAGACAAGGTTTATAAATTCTTTCCAGTATAAAAATCTTTCATTGAGATTAATGTCATCATTATCCAAAATAGCATCAAAAAAATCCCAAATAGAGTATGTACTAAAAAGTGAGATTAAAAGTTTTTTTATTATCGTCAGCAAATGGGCTTGCTGTCTCTGCTCAAGCTGAGAATTTTTTTGACGAGAAACAGAAAAATGGGATACAAGGATCTGTAAAGAAATGCATGCTCTTGTTTTTTTTTGCAAATTTTTTTCGCCTGAAGGAAAAAAGTACTCTGTGACTAAAATTTGCTGTTGTGATCGAGTGAGGATCTCAAACCAATTGATTATAATATTTTCAAGTATAAAATTTAGATGCTTTGAGTAGAGTTTTGAAAGAAAATATTTATGCAATTGTCGATTTGGAAAAGGACCTTTCCAATTTTTGTTTTCAAGAAAATCTAGCGGTCCACGCAGAAATTCCGATACAATTTCTACTGAGCAATTGGAAGATTTAATCTCATTCTGGAGTGAAGATAAATAGCTACGTAGCTGATTTTCCGGGGAGGTATTATCCAGCATTTTGAAGCTAGAGAATAAATTGATAAATATTGCTCAGTTTGGGATATTTATAATTTTGTCGGAGTCATGTGATATATCAAAATGCACCGTAGTACGATATATAAAGGGATATTGTTATGATCTCTCTTGTTATCAGTTAGTTAAACGATGAATATTCATCGAATACCAATTTATGCAAGTATTTATCGATTAAGATCAGTATTTTTACAAAAATCACTAAACTATACCTATGATGCGTTCCAATTATCGTATAGTCATTATCGTCATAGACAAAGTGGCAAAAACATAGTGTCATTAAACAACCGCAAGTTCACAATTTGGTCTAACCAAGAAGAGTTATCTCGTTTTTCGTGGAAAACAGCATTGCTTGTATTTTTTGGAGTTCCGATTACGGTATATTTATATAAGGTTGTTTGAAATGATTTAAAATATTTAAAATTGATTTGCCGATTTTCTTTCTATCACTATGAATTAATTATAATTTTTAATGTTAAAAAAAAAAAAAAATCTTAATTATACCCATTGTACGTACGTATCCATTTCCAGTGTACAGCGTTAGTATTGTTTCAAAATAAATTGATATACATGCCATTCCTTCCTTTGGGGACTCGTAAGCTTGCACTTGAAGAGGTACATATTGATAAACGTTTGGAGTGTAAACAAGTCGTAGTTGAAACTCGTGACAAATGCAAACTAGCTGGAATTATCGTTAAGGCTAAAAATAATGATAATAAGATTATAGATGATCGCGAACCAATCATAATCTATTTTCAAGGGTAAAAAAAATCACTATCACTATATATTTGGTTTTAACTAATTTTCATAAATTCTTTTTTTTTTTTATATATGGTTAGTAATGCTGGAAATATGCTTTTCCGTATACCAATATTTTCCAAATTGATATTATATTCAACAAATATAGTAAAAAAGGTACAAATAGTTGCAGTAGGTTATAGAGGTTACTGGTTCTCAACAGGATCACCTTCCGAAAAAGGACTTCAAAACGATGCCCTCGCAATTTATGAGTTTGTTCGTGCACTTTATCCAAAGAATCCGGTATATATTTACGGACATTCATTAGGAGGAGCAGTTGCACTATATTTGGCATCTAATGTAAAGATTCAGAAAGAATTGAAAGGAATTATAATTGAGAATGCATTTACATCTATTAAAGATATGGTCACCACAATATACCCACAGAAGTGGCTTCCCTATAAATATTTAGTAAACATTCCACTCTTAAATCGCAATAAATGGGATAATTATCGCATGATTCAAGGAATCAAAATACCTATTTTGTTTTTGTCATCGCGAAATGATGAGATAGTACCACAAGAACAAATGATAGAATTACATAAGATGGCTAAAATGAGCAAAAAGAAGGTATGGGTAGAATTCAAGAACGCATTACATGAAGATATCTTTTCTCATAAGGGATTTGTCGAAGCAATTAAGGTTTTTATAAATGAAACAATATCAGATATATCAGATATATCAGATATATCAGATAAAGATAATTAATTAATCTAGTAAACCATCCCAAAAAACCCGAATATCACGTGATAGTCTAACCCACTATAACCTATAACAGTATAATATAGTCAAATATACTATATACTGTACTATATATTTCAATATATATCTTTAATAAATCATATGATTGTTTCCCAATTACTATATCTGTATGATTTTTGATGTGCCTGATATCGATATAGACGTAGTCGATACTGTACAAAACTGCACAGTCCAATCACTTTTGATACCGATATATTGATAATAAATACTATAGATCTTAATGTTAATGCGTACATTCGTGTCATGCGTTAACAAAAAGTTGATTCTCTACGAAGAGCTGAATATCAGAATAAAATTTAGATTTTCATAATTTCATAATGTTTATTAAACAAAATGATACTCATTCTCTTGTAATTTTTAATTTCAGACTTTTAATAGTAATTCTATAGTACGTTAATTATATAATTATATACTTACGTAACATTTCTACTTCTTAAATCTACTATGTACAAAGAAAAATAATTGTTTTAATCAGTATTTTTTTTTTTTTTTTGAGAAAAAAGAAGACACATACATATATAGGAATATATATGTATTAAAGATAACTAAATCTATTGTTATACAAATAGTTTCTTTTTCTATTTTAAAAGCAAACTAACCAAAAGTCGGCAACTATTTAAAAAGGACCGATTGGTCTCCGGAATTATTATCAGATAATCGTGGTGAAACTTTGAATATTACATCCGATGCATTAAGTGTAAGTACAGACGTACGTACATAGGTGCGCACCTCAAAAATTCACGCATTTATGCTTTGCGCAAATTTAATCGGGAAGCAATTAGTACAAAAGTGCCATTTTTTTATTTGTTGAAACTATTTAATTTTGAGCTTACCAAAGTAAGTAATCAAATATCTGATTTGACGGTAATTTTTTCTAAATCTGTATCATGAATTACAAAAGCACATTCATTCTTGGTGTGGTTGTTTTTTGTTTACCAGTAAACTCCTCTAATTTAAGCAATTTAAGCAATTTAAGCTGTTTTGTTGTGTATTACGTTCTATGGAGTAATGGCTTTTTAGAATAACTACAAAGTGTATATTTTTTTTATTATACACGGTATTAATTTACCTTGAAATTCTCAAAGCTCTTAAAATTGGTGTTTGAAACTTTATATATTTATATATTTGCAATTTAAATATCTGGTTGTATCACCGACCTATCAAATAACAATGACGTATACTTTACTTACTTTGCTAATTAGCCAATAGGCTGTCGTTTGATATTTTTATATTTAAATAGATAGTTGTCTTACAAGCAACTCGTCATTTTTCGATTTTCCCAATTTACTGCTTTTGATAAAAATTCCACTTAACTATGGATCCTTATTTTTCAAATGCTGTTTTTTCATTAAACGACGATTCTAATTTTCCTTGGGATTTTACTTCTATTGAAGATAATGTTGAAGCTCAGAAACTTTTAGCTGCTGCTATAGCACATAACGATCAGTACAGATTCGACGAAGACCAGAAACGTAAACTGGAAATGCTTGAAGACGCTGCACAACAAACTCCTTCTAAAGCTAGTCGTATATATCATGATTGATTTCATTATAAATATTTCTTGCCTTCTTTTATTAAATTTATTTCTAATTTATTTATCTTTTTTTTAGATAAGTTAAACATTAATTCCGTTCCACATCCAGATCTTGATGCTGAAAGTAAGTACTATTCTGAATATAATTATCATATATATTTATCCTTAAAAAACTAATAACCTTTTTATATATGATTAAAAAAAAAAAATAAATAAATAAAACAGCGGAAAGTATTCCGTCCACACCGGATAATACGCAGTTAGAGCAATCTAATGAACCACAGAAGAAAAAGCCAGGTAGAAAACCTTTAACAAATACTCCTAGTAATGTATGTATGTTCCATTATGTAAATATTATTTTTAAAAACTTAAATTGACTTATTTTATTATTTTATATCAGAAACGTAAAGCTCAAAACAGAGCTGCTCAACGTGCTTTCCGAGAACGTAAAGAACGTTATGTAAAAGAACTTGAAACTAAAATTGAAGAACTTGAGTCTCTGTCCGCAAAGAGTGCTCAAGAGAATCAACAATTAAAGACGCTTGTTGAACAATTACAAGCTGAAAATTATTTATTGAAACAAACGAGCTTTACTTTCGATTTTCCTTTGTCAAAATCAAACGACTCTACTGTTGCTATTGACAAAGATATCAATGATCTAGTCATACCTTCAGGAACAAAATCTATATCTTCTTCTTCTGTTCCTGCTTCTAATGCTAGTGATCCTTACACTCCTCCATCTTCAAGTACGAGTGATGATGAACCAGGTTCTCCTA